TTATTATTATTATTATTATTATTATTATTATTATTATTATTAGCTGTCAGGCTCTCTCTGGAGATGATAATAGATCTTGATGGTTTATACGCTCACACTAATCAGACGGTGAGACACAGACTCTCGCCTGTTGCATCAAAACCTCCTCCGGCTCAACAGGACAGTGATGGGAGGGAGGTGAGGAGGAAGGCACATGCGTGATTTCTAGAAGCCACTCTCCACTTTATAAAGCCCACCGTCTTCCTCTCCATCAGTGTTTTCTGATATCCAGTGTAGAGTCAGGCATCATGGCACTGGCTTTACCCAGAGTCCGTGGTTCTCAGAGGAAGAGCGCTCACCCAGAGTCCGTGTCTCTCAGAGGAAGGGCGCTCGTGTCCCGGTCTCCTGGGGTCTGTCCCGTAGGCTCGGGCTTCGAGTCCTGCTCCGTCGTGACTTACTCACCTGCCGTTTCCTGGACTCGATGCCGCGCTTGTTTTTAAGGCACTGCTACCGCACTGACCCATCTCGTTTCTCCACAGGTCTGAGGGACCCCTGCTCTGCCCTGACCCCTGTCGATGGCTCGTCCCGGAAGTCTCGCTGTGCTTCAGGTATGACCGTTCCACCCAAAGGACACAACGCCCAACCTGCCGCCTCCAGCAACCCTACGGTCAGCCACAACAGCAGCAGCGGGTGAGTCCCGTGTGCCTTCAGTCATACATGCTGTGATTTACACAAGCTTACATGTGTAAAAAAAAAGTATATATATATATATATATATATAATTTGTGTGTGTGTGTAAATATGACAAAATATGTAATTGCTACATGTTGGAATGTACCAATATCTAAAATCATTATATCATTATATACATACTATAAATGTATACATTTTACCCGCTTTTTAACTCTGTAAATGCATTTTTCCCAATAAATTGTCATTCTGATATGATATTGATGTAATTTGGCTTATACTAATTGTCTATTTTTTCTTTTGATTTGTTACTGTTGAGTTTTTATGATTGGCAATACCATTATGTTTTTTTCTTTCTATGTATACATTACCTGTATAACCTGATATTGTGCTGTTAATGTAAAAAAAAAATTGACCCATACCTGCTTATATGCTTATCTGACAATGTTGTGCATCCATGAGTTTTAACATGGCACTTCATTAACATTAATCTATTTACATATATATTTAATAATTAATATGATATTTGATATTGAATCATACGTTTAAATAAACTAAATATACACCAGTGTAATTTGAGAATCATTGATATTCTAATATAGTTTTTGTTTATTTTGAATTAATTTTATTTTGAAATTGTTTGCATTATAATTCTAGCTAAAGTTTTAGTAATTTTTTGTGTTTCTGTCATCTGATATTATTATAATATTACTTATTATATATGTTATATATGTTTTATTTTAAGTTATTTTAGTTTTTTCAGCGTAAACTAAACAAAAATGAGAAATGTTGCCTTGGAAACTAGATGAAATGAAATAAATTAAAGTTTATTATTATTTTATTTCAGTTAATGCTTATTTTATTTCAAGTAATACAATTTTTTTATTTAACCATTAAATAAAATGGTTTATATAACCATTTTTTATGGTTTTAGTTTTTTTAACGATAGTAACCCTGATACACAATGTTTTATAAACATTATTAAAAAATAATATAAATAAATAAATAAATAATAGCTAATAAAAACAAAATAAATAAAATATAAAACATTTACATTTATTTATAGACATTAATTATTATTTTTAATTGTATTTTTTTACTTTATTCTCATTACTCTTAACTACACTAATTACATTTACTATAATATAATGTAGCATTTTTAACATGCATTTCTGTCTTTGCTTTAGTGTTATTATTACTGTTGGTCATGATGCAGTTAGGTTGTGTAGAAGTGTGAGGCTTATAAATCAACACAAATGAAGAATGTTCTCTTATTTCTCCCTCGTAATGACTGCGGCGTTTGCATGCTCATGTTCTCTGGCAGCTCTATCACAGGAGAGATGAATGAGGTTGACGCATTCAGGATGAAGCGCCCCACTGACGACACCATATCTCTCGCCTCCACCACGCCGGAGTCTTTCATCGTTGAAGGTGAGGGCTTGATTTTCAAAGCCAAAACATCGAGAACACCCAGAACGTATGATAAAGCGGCATGGGTAATTTATGATGTTTTTTTTTTAAAGCATTGAGCAACACTTTGTACTGAGTTTTATCATTACTGTGCACAGATGCGTATTACGCCACAGTACGAGGGGAACTGGAAGCCATCGCGCAAGATTTTGAGGTGGAGTCCTGGAGTCTGGCTGTGGATCAGCACTTCTTGAAGAAACATTCGAAGGAAATGATCAAGAGACAGGATGTTATATACGGTTAGAGTTGTTTAGCTACCCACACTGCTTTGAAAACTCGACAAACTGTTTCCAGATCTTCTCTAATGCGTTTCCTGTCTCCTCCAGAGCTCATCCAGACAGAGATACACCACGTGCGGACGCTCAAGATCATGCTCCGCGTTTACGCTCGAGACCTGCGGGAGGCGCTACAGCTGGATGACAGGAAGCTGGACTGTCTGTTTCCCCGGCTGGACAGCCTGCTGGAGCTGCACAGCCTCTTCCTGTCCCGCCTCCGGGAGCGTCGCGCAGAATCCCTGCAGCCGGGCAGCGATCGCAACTATGCCATCCATAAACTCTCAGATATCCTTATATCCCAGGTACATGCCCTAAATTTAGCACCATACTTCCTGCTTCACACTTCCTGACCTACATTTCCTGCTTCCTGTTGTCAACCTTTTGCCCTATGCTTCCTACTTCACATTTCCAGTCTTATGGTTCTTGCTTCAAACATCCTGTTTTTGCCCCACACTTCCTGCCGTTGGCATACTTCCTGCTTCACACTTCCCTACATTTCCTGTTCTCACACAATTTCCCTAAACTTCCTCCATCACGTTTCTTGTCTTACTCTTCTTGCTTCAAACATCCTGTCGTTACATTTCTTGCCCTACACTTCTTTGCTCACATATCCTGTTGTTACACTTTCACCCCACAATTCCTGCTTTTATAATACTTCCTGCTTCACACTTCCTTCCTTATACTTCCTTCTTCAGACTTCCTGTCCACCCCACTTTTTCCCAACATTTCCTGCTGTTGGAATACCTCCTTGATTCATATCACCGTCCCTACATTTCCTGCTTTATACATATCCTGCCATACAATTTTTGTCCTTAACGTCCTGCTTCACATTTGCTGTCTTATGCTTCCTACTTCAAACATCCTGCTTCACATTTCCTGGCCTACACTTCCTGCTTCACATTTCCTGGCCTACACTTCCTGCTTCACGTTTCCTGTCTTTCGCTTCCTGCTCCACACATGCTATTGTCACATTTCCTGGCCTACACTTCCTGCTTCACACATGCTATTGTCACATTTCCTGGCCTACACTTCCTGCTTCACATTTCCTGGCCTACACTTCCTGCTTCACATTTCCTGGCCTACACTTCCTGCTTCACATTTCCTGGCCTACACTTCCTGCTTCACATTTCCTGGCCTACACTTCCTGCTTCACATTTCCTGGCCTACACTTCCTGCTTCACATTTCCTGGCCTACACTTCCTGCTTCACATTTCCTGGCCTACACTTCCTGCTTCACATTTCCTGGCCTACACTTCCTGCTTCACATTTCCTGGCCTACACTTCCTGCTTCACATTTCCTGGCCTACCATGCTATTGTCACATTTCCTGGCCTACACTTCCTGCTTCACATTTCCTGGCCTACACTTCCTGCTTCACATTTCTTGTCCTACACTTCCTGCTTCACATTTCCTGTCTTTCGTTTCTTGCTTCATACATGCTATGTTGGACAGGAAGTGTGAAGAAGAAAATATTGAGAAGGAAGTAAGAAACAGGAAGTTTTGTTTGTGTCTGGTTTTAGTTTTCCGGAGAGCTTGGAGAGCGAATGAAGGAAAGTTATGGGGATTTCTGCAGTCGGCACACTGAAGCGGTCAACTACTACAAAGAGCAACTGCAGAGCAACAAGAAGTTCCAGAACCTCATGAGAGTATGTTGAGATCTTATGTGGCTAACATTTGCTAGGTTGTCCTAAGCGCTGCTTTAAATAATTTTTTCCTCTTACTGTGTTTCAGAAAATCAGCAATCTGCCAATAGTGCGGCGGTTAGGCGTTCCAGAGTGTATCTTGCTGGTGACGCAGCGAATCACAAAGTATCCTGTTCTTCTGGAGCGCATCCTGCACAACACAGAAGGTTGGTCGTTGCAGTCCAGTGAAACAATCCAGATATTATGGATTTGCAAGGTTCTAAACGCTTTCTTCTCATTGCAGCCGGGACAGAGGAACATGAAGGATTAGCACAGGCTCTCACTCTAATCAAAGACGTCATTGTTCAGGTGGATGCCCAGGTCAGTCTCTATGAGAAGGAAGCACGGCTCAGGGACATCGCCTCCAAGGTGGAGCCCAAGTCCCTTGGGAAAATCAAAGATGGACGCGTTTTCCGGAAGGAGGACCTTTCTCAGGGGCGCCGCAAGCTCTTGTATGAGGGCATGGTCAACTGGAAAGCTGCATCTGGTCGACTTAAAGGTATTATGAGAACATTAATTCCCATGCATAAGTACGGAGCCCATCAAGGGATATCGTTCGTGTTTCCCCAAAAACTTTTTGCAACAGTTTTGCCAAAGAACGCTAAAGCATCAAAATATATTTTTTCCTCCATTTTATTTATTTTTTGTCCCCCTTAGGGGTTCCATATACATAAGTTTGTTTGGTTGCACAATTGAAGTTTGTGATTCTTCTGTTGCAGATATTCTAGCTCTCCTTCTTACTGATGTTCTCATCTTGCTGCAAGAAAAGGACCAGAGATACGTGTTCTCCACTGTGGTAAGTGCGAGAACTTTGTTTTTGGTTTATACAAGAAGAGAAATTGTTTATCTTAACGCACTCATCTGTGCTGTTTTTCTCCTAGGACAACAAGCCATCTGTTATTTCACTGCAGAAGTTGATCGTCCGTGAGGTGGCGCACGAGGAACGGGCCATGTTCCTCATCTGTGCCTCCTCAAACGAACCTGAGATGTACGAAATCCACACGGCCTCAAAAGAAGATCGCAACACGTGGATCACCCACATCCGTCAGGCAGTGGAGAGGTCTGTGTCAGACGGTACTAACATTTGTGTCTGTACTTCTCTCTGCATTGTTTTTTAAATGTTCCTCCTTGGTTCCTGTCCATCAGCTGTCCACATATAGAAGAGAGATTGTTTAGCGAGGAAGAGGAAGCCAGAGTCGCCTGGTTCCGAGAGCTTCAAGGTAAAACTTAGCTTGTTTCGTAATGACATTCATGGTTTTTCTGCTCATTTTGATGTTGTGTGATGGTTTTTTTTATGAGGTTTGAAGGATCTTTTGTCACTAGAGGGCGCAGTTGTGTTTTCATACTGAAACCTTGCAAATCCTTTTGTCAAAAATAAGTATTTTTAGTGCAAATGCTTATTATATTAATATTATTAAATATATATACTATAATTTACTAAACTATATATGATAGTTAATATTATTATATATAATTTTACTTTATAATTATATTAATATAGTTATATTTAGTGTGTGTGTATATATGTATGTGTGTATATATATATATATATGTATATATATGTATGTGTGTATATATATATATATATATGTGTGTATATATATAT